GTGGAGGAACTTTTACAGTTCAGCTGGATGTAAGCTCACCTCGTCCTCATTTCACAGCAGTGCACTACCGTCGGTACCTGTCGTTATTGCCGACACTAGAGCTCAAGACAGAAAGCGAGGGAGAAAAAAAAAAAAAGCAATTGTCTGCCGCTGCTGTATTTGTAAAGGTTAATGATGAACATCAAAAACCACAAACGGGAGGAAAAAAATAAACAAGTGGTTAACCAGCGCTGCAGAACACAGTCATTAGGGTGTAATGCAAGACCTGTGAGGATGTGTGTGTGTGGAATATTACAGTGGTTGGCTCGCTGTTACTTGTGAGGCAATAATTGAGACCAGAAGTGCCAAAGGAATGGACTGTAACAACGCCATGCATACACACAGCCTCATTATCCTGGACCACGCTCATCTCTCATCTCCAGCCACCCCTGTTCCCGTTTCGCCTCCTCCTGAGTCCCTGACCAGCTCCTTGTTTGTCTCTAATACACTTTTTTTTTTTTTTACACCAAAGACCAATTTCTGCACTGTGTCTGTGCAAAGTTGATACAGGTAGGACTTTGCATCTGAATTCATGGGCTGTGATTTGTCCGAGTCAAGCCACCAACAAAAGCATCTCTAGTGTGTTATGCTAAATTCAGTTAAGCACTTTTTTATGCGCTTGTCAAAACCTGATATCGAGATCAGTAGCCTGGTTCTGGCCACAGAACAGTCCGTTTTCCTTGATACGTGTGTGGAGACAGAGCAGGAGCAACATCAGTTCCCATTTTCTCTTTTCAGCTTTCTTTTTTTTATTTTCCTCACTTGGTAAACATTTCCCCTTTGCATCTACACAATGCATATAGCTGCTTTATCATCCACTTTCCCTCCGTTTTAGCCAATAAATATGCTAATAATAAAACATTTATAATGTGATAAAAACCTTTATAATGATAGCGTTTTGCTGCAAGCCTGCCTAGAGATTAAGCCAGCGCTTCGTTGTATAAGCAGCAAATGTGGTGCGCATCAGTGTAGCCTGTAAACTGTGCACAACATTAGACGTTTCAGTCTTACCGAACCACAGTTCACCGAATAAATGAGCTCATTTATTTGACTGAAAAGTTTCTCTGTTCATTAGCCTGAATGCTATAAATGTTTCTATCAATCGCTTCAGGCGAGTCTGAGAAATAAAGAGTGATACAACATGTGTTTTCACGAATTAACAAAAGCCTCCGAGTCGATGCGTTGGTGCGTGTTGTGCGCACAGTGAGAGAAAGACAGAGTGGACCGTCAGCAGACTGAATGAGGAAACATGTTATATATGTTTAGCTTTGTGTTTCTGCTTGGCGGGAGCTCGTCTCAGTGGAAATGCAGTTCCATCACAAAACTCCGGTGTGCAATACAAAGAGTGACAATGGTTGTTTTTCTAACTTTAACCAACTATGATGACGAAGGTTGTTTGTTGAAACCTAACCAAGACCTAAACCAAACTTTAACAAAAGAGCAACCTGTACTGGGTGGACTAACAACATATTTCTTGTTGTTCATGCAGGATGGCAAAACCCTCTTCATGTCAGAGCTATCCAGTTGTTTTTTTTTTCTATTAATGGTAACCGAAATCCTTATCTAACCCCAACAAAGTGCTTCAGGTGCACAACAGGACTGAACAATGGAATTAACAAACCAGAAAGAGAGCTGTTAGAGATATACATTATTCAGCGTGTCTGACCCAGGATTTAAACTGCTACATGAATGATTTCATAAATTCCCGTCGCCCTCCTTATGTCACAGTCATGCTTTTAATGGTATTCCATGTGGTAATGCTCCATTACACGATTGCAATCTTTACACGTGAATATTGACCCGACGCCTAATTAAATAATACCACAAATCCAATCCTGATGGTAAATTCTATCAGACAAATTACAACCACATATTTTCTCCAAATCATTCAGCCCTAGTTTCAGTCTCAGTAACCATTCCCTAACTCTAGATACCACACCGTCGCCGTGGTTGCCCTCGCAGAGATCATAGAAAGCATGGAAGCTGAAAACCCTGGTAAAGAAGCTACACAATACGTTCTTCTTGTTTTACAGAGTCAACATTCTTGTGGTGCGGTGGTTCTTATCAGATGTTTGAGTCAGTGAGTGTAGTCGTTGACTTCAGACAAGTTGTGTACATACTGTATACAAAGCAGCTGCTGAGATCTGTAATGGGTCACTTCAGTGGGTTACTAGAATGTCACCAATTTTTACAAAGGAGCAAAATTGTCAAAGGGACACAAAGATGGAGTAAAATTGCTTTGTATTTCTTACATGCGACATTGTTGACCTTTCAAGGCAACTGTCCTGTGACACTATGAAAATGCTACCATAAGTTTAATCCAAACTGAAGCCGAGTGTGTGTGTGTGTTAGAGAATGACAGATGTGTGCTTTTATCTGTGTCTGCATCTGCACAGGGCCTTGTTTGTGCGGGCCCTGTGCTATTGGTTGTTTACAGGTTGTTTACGGTGAAAGGAATGATGCTAAATCGTTAGTGAAGGGTGCTAATTCTCCTCTAAAAGCTGTGATTCAAACACTAATGGAAATAGTGCTCAACCGAGTGAGAAGGGAGACGGGGACAGATAGATGGGATGGCGAAAAAAGGAGATTTAAAAAGGGAGGAAGAAAATAATGTGAGGTAAAATTGGAGGTGAAGAGTGGGAGAAAAGAGGGGGGAAAAAAATGGAGACTTGAGATGGTAAATTGGATGAGAGAGAGAGAACAAAGGGAGAATGGGAGAGGTAAGTGTGAAGTAAGAAGAGGGAGAATAGTCTGATCTAAATTGATAAATGTGGATGCAGAGGAATGTAGGGAGTGGAGAAGAGAGGGAGAGATGGAAGAAAGGAAAAAAAAAAAGGATGTATTACTTGTGTGTGTCTGAGTTGTGTGGCTGCATACATCAGCATCAAGCTCCCCCCAGTATTTTATCCCGCGAATGAGCGAACGCTGCACAGAAAGTGTTCGCAGGTGCCGGATGTGTTGAGAGAGAGAGGAAATAAAAAATGATAAAAGGACAGAATAGGTGAAGGAGGTGAGAGAGGGGTCAGACAATTAGGACAATTACGACCAAGTTTCAAATTAAGGGTGTCACTGGTGGCAGAATATAATTCCCATTTAACGGTTCGTTTAGCTCCAAAATGCCAGCCCCGGTCTAATAGATGAGATCTGGATAGGAAGAAAAAGTGCGAGTGGAAGAGTAGCGAGTGTGTACAGCCGAGCGTGCATGCGCGCTTGTGGTTCGCAGTGGAAATGCTGTTGACAGTGTAATTTGATGAAAGCTGACAGCTAATTTATGAAGCATATTTTTGGGTAAATGATTTTTCCTGCTCCTACTTTCTCTGTCATTCTACACTGGTAATTGGATTTCCCTAACTTGCAAGGTAGTGAATTAGGAGTAAACTAGTTAATGAAGGACTGGCTGGCTGTATGTGTGTGGTTGCAGGAGGAGGAGTATATGTGTGTTCCCACAACAGCATTCTAAGCTTGAGAGAAAAAAGGAGAATATTAACAGAGCGTGGGTATTTGTGTGTGTGTGTCTCTTGCACATATTTGTAGATGTAGGTGCCATCTCTTAGTGCAGTGGAAGTTAATTGCAAAGTTTTGGTCTGCTGCACTAATACCCGACTATTACTAACTACCTTTTTTTTTTTTTGCTTTATTCCTACTCAGTCAATCAAGGACCGCGGACGCAAATATACACACAAACACACATACATCTAACAAACCCGCCATCCTCTATTCTTGTCTCATCGCCTTTCTATCGCTCACTTTAATTGCGAGAAGTGTCTTGTCTTTATGAAGCTATTCCCTAAGGTGGGTCATGGTGTGCCTGCGTGTGTGCATGTGTGTCGCGTGAGTGTGTGTTGAGGAAAGAGAAGAAAATGCAAAATGGAATGCAGTTCTGACAATGACAGCGAGCTTGTTATTCTCACAGTGAAAAACACCTACCTCTGTGAATATGCGCGCACATGCCCACAGACGCCTTCTTCAAACAAGATATTAGACTAAATACCATTAGAGACTGAACTAGAACAAGAGACAAAACGCTGCTGCCTTTTGTCTCTTGTGTCAAAACCGGTGGCAGTTTTACAGGTGTGAGCCATCCCCCCCCTCCCTCTCCGCTGCCTCGGAACTATTTAAAAACCCCATTTAAGCTTGACTAAACCAAGCCATAACACAAATCAAATGTATCTAATCCAGGGCAAACCTTGCTCAACCCAACCGTTTCACAAGCCAGCCTAACTAATCCAAATCAAACTGACACAAAACCCTACCAGGCCCTGCTCAAGCACACCACAGCCAAACTGACTGAGTCCAAACAAATCTAATGCAAATGAATGTAATCCAAGTTAATCTACTCAGAATGAGCAAAGCCAGGACACGACTCATTTCCAGTGGGCTTTTTCAGTTCTGTGTAGTTCTAGTGCTGGGTAAAGATAGGAGGAAGGCAACAGTTCAAACATACAGATGGGGGAAATCGATGCGGAGCGTCTTGCTGAGGTGTTGGACCACAACACGCCACCAAAGCGGCTAGAAAGCACCTTGGCATGGATGTGAGCAAGAGCCTGGGACTCAGCTCGCGCCTTTTCCAAAAGGCATCTGAATATGGTGTTTTAATGATGCTGGCACTACCTGACACGTTGGTCCAAAATCTGCGACAGGTGCCTGGATGTAAATCTGTTAAAAGCCATAATCATAAAATTCCCATGATTTTAACATTCATCAAGCCATTAAGTAACCTCGAAGGGAAACCTGTACTTTCTTTATGTATCTCAACTTATTTATTCTGACTTTTCCTATAATTTGCCTCCCATCTGTAGTCTCCTCACACAGAAGGAGAAAGGAGGACTCTGTTTTGTTGCTGTTATGATTTTCCCATCAAATTCTGACTATGTGGCAAAAAGCAAACATTCTATCTGTGTCAGCGCTGTCGACTTGTGTTTGAGGCAGTGGTGAATAAAGATGCCATCCTCAGCCTTTACCTGGAGTGTTGAGCAGTCTGGACATGCGACAGCTGTAGGCGATTTTCTGCTCACAGTTTTCTGCACTGGTGGTGATGGCTGTCACCTGGAAACACAAGCATGGATATGTATTTTCATTTTATCTTATTCAACCAGACAGGTCAATTTCATGTAAGAACAAATTATTGAGCTGCAAAATGAAAGAAAGTGCACTGTAAAGTTATTTTAATTTAGCTTCCTGTGACTTTCAGAGGCTGAAAATGGAACAAGTGATCCATACAAATTATGGGGGAACGTAATTACAGGAAGGATATGCTACTCAAACCATGTCATCTCATAGAACACAGTGGCCTGGTACATACTGCAGGTGAAAACTGCTGTCACTCCTCAATGGGGTGTTGGAACCTGTAAAGTTCACACACAGTTTGCTTTTGACTGAGAGTGACAACTGCAATCTATAACCACTCACCAGAAAGATTAAGGTATCGACTCTTGAGTGTGAGGGAGCAGACTCAGGTAGTTTGAGTTGGATATAGTAAAACCACGGCAGACAAGTGGCATGAGGTTAAATTCTCGTTACATTGGTTTATCACTGTGCATTTGAAAGAATAAATACTGAGGTTGAGTTTAAGTTGAATTACTCTACAATGAGAGACTTTGTGTATGTATTTAATGCTGCTGTAGGCATAGGTATGCCACATACATGTATTTTTGTAGCATAAATGTTATTACGGGGGAATCAAAGTTCACTAGATTCTCAAGAACGATCAGCTAGCTTCGGAAAAGCTTAAAGTCTATCACCGGTATTGATTAAAGTCTCCTGTGTAAATCAGAACCATTTAGAATTACATATTTAGAATTTTTCTCATGAAAATAACCTCCTCCTGCCCTAAAATGGCTTAGATGTACGAGGTGTGTCAGAAAAGTTCCAGGACTGGTGTCAACCAGCACATCTACAAAGAGATCCTGCAGCGTTTGCTTCATTCAGTGTGCAAGAAGAGCCGAGAGTTGTGGCAGGACAAGTTGTGGCTGCTTCACTATGATAACACACCTGCTCACAATGCCCTGAGCATCCAACAGTTCCTGGCTGAGAAGAACATCACCGTGCTGGAGCAACCTCCCTACTCACCCCACCTGGCTCGGTGGGATTTTTTTACTCTTCCCCAAGCTCATGGGGGTCATCAAGGGGACCCATTTTGAGGACATGGACGACATCAAGATGGCTGTGACGATGGAGCTGTGGAGGATCCCGGAAGAATCCTTCCAGGAGTGCATGGCGGTATGGCAGAGAAGGCTGGGAAAGTGTGTTAGACTACAGGGGGATTACTTTGAAGGGGAAAACTTGTAGTTTGTCGGTTGGATTTGATATCTATCTTTTTGTGACCTGAAACTTTTCTGACACATCTTGAAACTGTACACTACTGCTTCCTTTAGATTGTAAAGATCTATGAACTCCCTGCCTCCTTCTCCACCAACTGCTGACTACTTGCTTTGCCATCACACCAGCTCACCTGTTACTCTGCTCAAACACTCTATGCTACACAAAGACATGTTGTAATATCAGAGCATTTTAGTCACACACAGAACCAGAAACTGATCTGAGTAATAATGAGATGACAGGATTGGTTCTTTCGGTTTGGTGCATATGAAACTCCAGACGTCTGAATTTGTGGTTTAGAGACCATCATTGGTCTCAAAACTATAAGTGCTGCAGTTCCAAGGTGGAGTTGCTCAGCTATGGTGTTGTCGTCCTGTTTCACTTATTATGTCTCCTGGCAGATGAACAACACCATATGGCCTTTGAAGGTATAAAATAGGCTGGATTTTCACTGGAGGGAGCCTTTAACTGAAATTTATTAACCCCACAGCTCTGCTAGCTCAACCCAGTTCTTACTAATATATTTGCAACACCAAATGTTAAATGATTAGTTGTAAAGACTGAACTAGTCAGCACAGATCGACTTTATAAACAGAGCTTGGCCACAGTGATGTACCACGGCAAAACCGACACACATTTTGAACTGACTTCTCGCTCTTCCTTTTCGCTCTGCAGGTTTTTAGCAAGTACAAACTGAGATGTGAGTGTGTAACTGAAAGGCACACATCCTCTCACATGCCCCTGATGATGATTGTTTGAATAGCACATTTTGTATTAAAAAAGTAAAGACACAATTTAATGGCGCTCAGACACCGTTAAATTAAAAATGTAGATGCAAATAATTATCAGTCCTTGATTTTATACCTGGTTCACCCTTTATTTACTGAGTTGTCAAAAATTCACGCATGGTTGGCGCCATTGTCCTCTTTGGATTACTGTGAGTGTATGACTGGGTGAGCTTTTCAGCGTGAGTGTGCGAGCGGGAAAAACAAAGGCATTTGTTCAGAAAACCACCGAAAAGGAAACCTAACATAGCAGAAAATGGTGCCACAATGTTGAAGTCAGACGTTGTGGGGGAAAAAAAGCTACAAGATTCAACTTGGTGGTCCTGAATAAACTGTACCATAGTCCACAGTAGTTCCCTCAAGTGTAGGATTATATCATTTGAAACTAAATAGATGTCAACTGTATTGACTGAGCGTTTATGTGCTAATAGGAAACTATATTTGAAAACTTAATTAACCCTCTGAGTCTCAAACACTTCCTCGGCTTTTTTTTGTGTGCTTCTGTTGCATTTTCACTCAGTGTGGGCTCATTTTTCACTGCAATATAAAACCCTGCACTTCTATGGAAACAGTTCAACCAGGGCTAAAAGCAGAGAGGACTCAAAAATGTCTTCTGTGCAGAATAATACAGTTTTAAAAAAAATGTAATCTACATGTATCAACAGGTGCAACATCATAGATGCTTGACTAAGCGCAGCCTACAGTTGAGTCCAGTTTCACCAAAAGGTTTCAAGGAGACTACCACGAGACTGTTGGTTGCAACTGAGTCACTAACAGCTTCACGGTTGTGCCAAAGACCACAGAATTTTTTGCTTTTTTCAAAATCCTGGTTAGAACAAATTCTGAATTTTTGGATTAATTCATGTATTTTGATTGTGACATCACAGATTAGTAACCACAGCATCAATGAAAGTCTAATCCAGCCATTCTTTCTGTTTTTAGAGTTTCTGGCTCTGACAAATGTATTTTTTAAAGACAACAAAACTTTTAACTCTGCCAACTTTTGGGGGGTTCAGAGGGTTAAACTATGTATTAAAATTAACAACGTTTAAGGTGCAGATATGATGAAGCCAATGATCTGATGGCTACAATTCTAATAAATCAAACTTCCAGATGAACAGTCTAACACACAACAGACTAACATTTATCAGAGTTAAAGTGAGCCAAGACTTGAGGTAAACCGATATGTTCAACCAAAATCAGGTATACAGCAGGGTTTGAAATGTACTGGATGATACATTATCAAGGACAGTGTACAAGTGCCACACACCCTCCGACTAAATCCAATCCCCTTTTCACCATATATTTGTTTTTCTTATGAGTTTATTTATTCAGTTTGTAATCTTGGGCTGCATAAAATCTAAATCTATGCAAATGCTACACTTGGCAACACAAGACTTCCTATGCATAATGCATAAAAGTGTACGTGTGTGTGTGTGTTACCTGGTCCATAGAGGCACTGTAGTTGACCTGCAGGACGGTGCGTCTCTCTCTACTCGAGCCTGTGACGATAGTTTTGGGCGGCAGGTTGTTCATAACCGTCGTCCATACTTTGTCTTCTGCACATAAAGAAATACAAAAACATATTAGAAATGTGAGCAATATATAGTATGTGAGAAAACAACTGTGCTGCAGCTTCAAAGCTCAAACCTGTTACACATTTGAAATAATTTAATAAAATTTACACAAATTACCTGTGTTTACACATTAAATTCCCTCACATGATGGTGTGCTCACACACATACACACAAACACACACATATACACACACACACACAAACACTGAAATCGGCAGTTTGGCTGTCATGGTAGTGAAGTTCTTTCAGTGTAATCTAAGTTACAGCTATGAGACTCCAGGGTTTAATAGACACTTCTGTGCTGCTATAGCATGAACCAGTCACTCAGACATCTCCCTGTTCATTCGCACTGTCAGTCAGAGAATGTGTGTGTGTGCGTGCTCCAGGTCTTGGAGGTGTGTGTGTGTGTGGCGGAGAAAGAGAAACTCTTAACATTTCGGAGGTGTGTGTGAGTGCGCTATTCAGCGTGACTAAGGGGCTAGCCAGTGGAGTGCAGTGACATTTCATTAAAAGTCTCGCCTTTGCTCTGCCTGCATGCTCTGCTGTTCCAGACTATCTACTTATTCCGCTGTGTGCGTGTGTGTGTGTAGATGTGTGCAGGTGTGTTTTTGTGTGCGTGTGCATGTGTGTGTGTGTGACAGAAGTGTCATTCAGACAGTTTGAGCACTCTTAGGTCGGCATAATAGGTTGGCTTCATACGTGTCTGTGGTGTGTGTGTGTGTGCGTGTGTGTGTTGCTGTGTGTGTGCATCTGAGCATCTGTATTGGCTGCTCCTTCAGAGTTAAATGTCAGTAACTGTGAGCGAGTTGCCATGGTAACCTCAGGTATAGCAGGTTAAGACGGCTGCCGTGTGAGGTTAAGAATGAGAAGGGCTGCAGAGTTTTCTTCCTTCACAGGTCACTGGGCCTAGACAGAGTAAGGAAGTGGGAACACACACACACAGACGTGTACACACACATACACGCAAACACAGAACGGTGGTAGCTAGCAGGCACCTGCAGCACACACACACACACACACCTGTCATGTTGCAGTTGACTTTGAAGGGGCCGAGGGGTCCGCTGCCATCGGGGTCAATCCAGTAAGCGTCGGAGGACCTGCCCAAATGCTTATAGGCCTCACATGAAGGCTCATAGATAGCTGGAGGTGGAGCAGAGGGAAAGAGAAATAAGTGGATACATGAGCATTTGGCTCATAGGGCATTAAAAAAAATAACATAGCTGAGAGCCCATAACCATCGAGTTTGCAATGCACATTACCATCTTCCCCGTAGTTATTAAAGTTTAGAATAAAAGTTTCTGTTTCACACCTCCTACACTCTTAAAAAATAAAGTTTGGGCTCCACAAAAAATATTAACTCAACAGTTTGCATCAATCTTTTTGAGTGAGATCTTCTCATGATGTTCAACCAACATTTTATTATGTAAATAACGTACCTCTCCTCTATAATCAAAGTTGTTGTAATCACAAATCTTAACTAGAATTATTCAGCAATGTCAAGACAGAGGAGGGGACTTAAAATCCTCACCTCACGGTGCAGAAAAATTTTGTTAGTTATCAAGCCAATTTTATTGAGTCATTTGAATATTAAATTAGTTTTAAATCAACTAAGTTTAAAGCACAAATAATATTAGTTGATGCAGTTAACAACATTATTATGTCAATCCAATCCATTCAAATAATGTTGCTAACTTAAAAGCGTTACCTAAGTATGTAAATTAGATTCTTTATCTTTTGGGTATTTTTTTTTCTTGCAACCAAATAGTTAATGAAATAGCAGGAGCAATTCCCTTGAATTACTTTTTAGAGGGTAGTAGTCACACTGTGCCACACTGAGATATACACTGATACTGTCAAACTGTGATTTTAGTACCCTGAGGGGGGTCTTCTGAAAGTGAAGTGATAATGAGCTCAACTCATTTTAGAAATTACAAAAATTACATTTTAATTAAAGAATTGTGCGGATCGGAACACATTTGACCCACAGAAGTTAGCAGTTGATGAGAAGTAATGGATAAACATGTGGAAACAGGAAGCCAAAAGGGCTGCTTCAATGATTAAAATAGACGAGTAATGGTAAAAAGTCAATAAATGGTTTAAACAGCTATCTGAAAGTAAGGCTAGGAGTTGAATTTACTTACTAACTATATAAACAAACAGTTAAAAGCAGAAAAAGATGGCTAGATGTTAAATACATGAATAAAGGAATGAATAAATAGCTCTGTCCAAACCAACAGTTCAAGCGGATGAAAAAAACATTTTAACAATATACCATTTTTTTGCATAATTATTTGTGAAGTGAGTTCAAATGAACACATTTGAACATGAGAGGTGGTGTTGATGTAGGGATTCTTGAGTCCATCTGACAGGCCTGTGGGGGGTACGTGAGATGAAAAAGGTTGAGAACCACTGATGTAAAATATCCACATTTCGTGATGCCGATTTGAAACAGCTCTGTTGTTGAATGGACGGCAGATGAAGGGACAGCTTTGTGGTTCTTTACCATTCGTAAAGAGAAAGAATCAGATTTTATGCAAAATCAAGGAGGATGCTTCCCTGGTTAACATGAAAGTGTTCAGAGGTTCATTCTCATTGTCTGCCCTGAGGGTGGTGCTAGAGAAGAGTGTACAGTAAAAGAGACTTTGGAATATCTTGTGTAGGACTGTGCTACAAACATATGCTACCTTCAGCAGCATTTCCCCTCGGATCATTCCACACTTTTTGTTGTATAATGGACCAAAGATTAATTAAAGTGTTGAATTCCAGGAGGGATGTAAAACAGCACATCAATGTCCAAAGTTGTTTTCTTCTTTCTCTCCTCCCAAAAGGCAATTTCATGTGGTTGCCACTTTAACTCTATTGTCTCTATTCAGTTCCTGTCAAGGAGTGGAGGCTTGTCCCACACTCTCCAGCAATCTGTCTGACAACGTATTGATGTTGTGTTTGTGTTGATCTACACACAGGCGGACAGAGATGGGACAGGAGGAGGAATTACGCTTCAAATGTGAGATACATAAGAGGGCTACTTTGAAACTTTTTGACTGTGGTGTGAATTTCACAGGTATAGCACTGAGTTTAAAAAAAAAAAATAAATCTGCCATTTTTCTCTCCCCTTGCTTGCTTATTACCAGCTCTTTATCACTGTGTCTGTTTTTCCACGTCTTTCATTACATTCTCTGACTACTAGATGGTGTTTTTTCTCTCTTTGATATCCCTCTGTTTACCAAGAGAGGATATTCTTTTCAATAAAATCAGCGGTGGGAGGAAGCGACCCTCACACCAGGATCTCACAAGGATCAACAGAATTACTGAGGTTCAGGCGGTTGTTCTGGTTCAAAGCCACTGGTCAAAGGCTGTAACACAGTGGTAGTTGAATATCCGCCAATCTCTCCGAGGACTGCTTCACCGTGTGGCACAACTAAAAGATTCTAAGGGCAACAGAGGGAGCGAAAGAAGTTGCTCAAGGAGATATACGATTAGAAACTACGGTAAATAAACAGAACAAAATATTTTTCTCCAATTCACAATGTGATTAAATTATTAGTTTGGTAGTATTCTGAGTTTAGAAAAAGAGATTATTGGTTTAAGATTTTCAATAATATCTGTAACGTCACCAGAGCAAAAGCACTTTTAGATCAGTGCTGGACATGTACCTAAATACAATTTCGAGTATTGTAGGGGAAGCTTTTGAGAGCTTAAGGAAACAGGTAAATATTTTTAAGATGGTACAACATTTTGGTCTGATAGAACCAGCTGGTTTAATTCTGACGTTCATTTATTTATTGTAAGGCTATGGCATGTCAGAATATTATATTATTTTAGTCCATCCATCAGATATCAAATCTGTCAATCTGTCTAAAATTAGTGTACAATTATATAAATCAAACAAAAGAAACTTATCATCACATTCAAGAATCTGGAATCAGTGATTTTTTTTTGCATAATCAAAAGATGAACTAACATCAAAATCAATCAACGATTCCCCAGTTTGCAGTTCCAGCATGTTGAGAAGTCACCCTCTCAGTTCAAGTCAGTTCAATTTAACTCATGTAGCAGCGATTCACCACATACAGTTGTCATCTCAAGGCACTTCACATAGTAACGTGAATCCCTGATAGGTCTCTTATAGACAGAAACCCAGAGAATTGAAGAAAGCACTTCGCAACAGTGGTTCTCAGGAAAGTAACCATTAGGGTCTGAGACTTTCAAAAGCTACAGTCAGGAGACATTGTACAATACTGCTGTCACTGGTTGAGTAGTACTGCTAATGATTAGCAAGCTGATGTTCATGTTTAAAATGAGCCAACTACCCTTCAAACATCACACTTATTGCTCTCAAATTAGAAACTGAGTTTGTAGACATTCTTCTTTCCGATGTTTCATTTTATTATTTCTTCTACCAGGATAGTACGAGATACATGTTATATTTTAGCAATGCTCTGTTTCACAGCAACGTATGATTCACTCACAGCCATCTAATATTGGCTAATAACCAGCTCCACAAGGACTGTGGGCTCTAAACAACTGCTTAGAGTTCCATGGCTAAGCAGTGACTTTTAAGGAATTGAAAAGAATTACTCATCTGCTCTCCCTGACCACATTTTACTGGCAGGGCTGCAGATGTGACCCATGTCTTTTCAGACCAAAACGAGACACCCTAATCTTCAGGCCACTGCTGTGCCTTAAGCTGTTGTCTGTTGGTGAATTAGTTTGTCATACATTTTCAGAAGCCTTCTTTGAAATCAGCCCCTTGGTAACTCGTTCACTATTCTCTGTATAATGGACACTCAAAAATGTATTCAATAGTGAGCAGTGAATTCAGATTTCTGTAATTTACCTGAATCTTTGCATCATTACTAACGGCTGTCACTTTTACATATATATATAAAATGCATCAGTGTGTAGGATAGGACACTATATTGTGGATACATTTAGACAGTCAGAATTTGGACACTACCTGTAGAGCACTATATAGCAAATAGGGAGCAATTTTGGATGCAGCCACACAAACATGGTCTGGCAAAGACACCTTTCAACATACATCTATATATATTTTATGATCTATGCATTATTTCGTTTCGATTGCTATTCCAACTCCTCTGTCCCTCTGTGATGCTATAGTCGGAAGAACTCACGTTAGTCTCTTATCTAACTTCCTCAGACTTTATAATAAATCTCCTGTTTTAGGTTACATATGCGTCATATTGCCGGAACTTTTCTTACTCATCCTCTCCTAAAAGAGAACAATATTTGTGCCGTGTGGGAGCAGGGATGGCATTCTCAAAAATTTTAAGCCCTTAAAACACCCTTTCTGCTTCCCTCTCTCTCCGACTCTGTTCTCTTTGTGTGCTGGTGCTTTTTGGGTCGGATTCCTTTTTCTCTGACCAGAACAAAATGCACAATGTACTCAGAAAAGCTTGGCCTCTGAACACTTCAAAAGTTCATCTGTCCCTCTGCTGAGAATTGTGGCTTTGAGCAGAGAAACAGCTTAATCACTCAAAGGCGAATGGAGGAAGGCCAAATCAAACACACACACACACACACACACACACAAGGAACAGAATAGAGTGGTACTAAAGCGAGAGGGGAAAAAAGGACCGAAATACACAATTGTATACACACACACACTCACATACTTACAAGTGTGGCAGGTGGCTCCAGTGTATCCTGTTCCATCACAAGTACAGCTGAAGCTGTCCCACGTTTGTTTACACCGACCGCCATGTTCACAGTGATTAGGCATACACCTGGAGAGAGGGAGAGAGAGATCGTACATTTACAAGACACACATCACCTCAAAAGAGGGAAAAATATTCTAATATATGTTTGCAGTATGTAAACGCATACGCACACTCACTTATGTCATTTTAGGGGCCACATAATTTAACACTGTCCTGTTGAGGACAACACTTTCTGAATGGTTGAGAGAAACACTGACAGGTGGAATGCATTACTGAGAGTACCCAGATGAGAATCACTTGAGGCTTTGGTTTGGAGAACAACTTTTCTCACTATGCCTCACAAAACTGATTTAAATCTGGATACGCTGATATAAATAAACTGATTTTAAGTACCTGAGATATGTGGATATCTTACTGACATAAGAAACACCTTTGAATATCAGAAGCTGATAGCTCGGTACAGCTACTCTCTCTTTATCTAATTTGTTGAATGCTAAATACATGTCCATCATTCCTTAGTGCAAAACTTCTGATATCAGGGACAACGTATGGTAAAACCTTAAAACAGACAAAAACTTCTGCAAATTAGTACATAAGTGTGACTTTGATAAAGTAGGTGAAAACCCTACTCTCCGATCACTTGTCTCCTTACATTTCCTCCCTTATTTCAATGTATCATTTGAGCATCTTGCTATAATTGAACCAGTGTTATTGTAACATTGCAGGACAAACTATATCAGGTTTGTTCTTTTAGTTAGTTTCAGTCATCCTTTTCTTTTTAAATCAGAATGTAGATGAATTGATCCTTTGTTCAGATTTCCCATTTTCTTGTATTGTTTTGTTACTTTAAGTTTTAAGTAAATCTTACATCGTCCTTGATCTTTTGACAATACTACTCTACAGCACTGCAACCAAAATGACACTTCTGTGAAAATGGTGCATGATTCATGGTGACTACATTCCTTTGTATGAAATTGGATCAATATTATTATATTATATAAGAATACTAGATTCAATATGGTGAATTTGTATTTATTGCAGGGTGCAGTATGAACTGCTTCACACTGCAAAAGATTACACTTGAAAAAAAAAAGGGACACTCATCTTAAAGAGGAAAACTGGCCACTGGCCATTAGGTCTGTTGTATGTGTTAAACCTTGACCACATTGAGATTTGAAGTCCCTTTAGCTAGCAGGGGTTACTTTCAAAAGCAATATGGTACTGATCAAGGGAGGCATCAATATTCCTTTGAGAGTGCACAGAGGACTTTCCTTTTCATAAAAAAAAAAAAATTGTGATTTTATGAGCTGGGATTGATGAATGTTTCATGATTTCATTGAACTTCGACTCCTGAAACTACACATATATTAGCTAACAAAAATTACTAGAATTTCAAGGGTGGGCGGGGAGGAAAGCTGATTCAGTAGTAGAAAACCAGCAGTCTGAATTTAAACCACTTAATCCCATCAGTGAGCATAATAATAATTTTGTTTGGGTAAAAATAGCAATCAGAAAAGCAGCCATGAACTTGCTTATTTATGCTGAATAATATTTCTCTTTGTTTTACCTTTTTTTTTTTTTTTTTTTAGAACTGAAAATGTTGCTTTTTTTTTTCTGAAATATTTCGGTTGCCAAGTGTAGAAAGAAAAAAAAAGAAAACTTGCAAAATAAATTGTGACACATGCCAGCTCAAGTATGACATGCTCCTTTTGAAAGTTAATGACTGACCATAGAATACGTCTGTTTTTATTGCTCATTAGAGCATCGCATTGAATTTATCAGTCGGCACAACAGACAACACAAATGTGGAAGAATTTTACCAACACAGTTAGTATCCACATTTGCATAGATGCTTAAAAACAGAGTATGCACAGTATTAAGCACACAGCAGTTAAGATATAAGTGCTTTTCTTGTTGAAATTTGAATGCCAAGTCAGATCCCGAGCACATCAAAGTTCTGTGGCTTGATTGGGCTTTGGGCCGGGTGGGGATGGATCCCGAGGCACTGCAGTCTTAAAGCTTGTTTTTCCACATCTACACACATGTACTCACGCACAAGTTATGTGATTAGAATATCTAAGTCTGCTTATTTGAATGAATCAAAGTGGTGTTAACCGAAAAGCCAGCTGGAGGAAAAACAAACAGTGACTCATAAGAGCTGCAGGGGTCCGTTAAAATGCTGAGTTCTTCTTAAGCCACATTGGGAGTCAGGCAGTTAAGCAGCACAGAAGCGTTCTATCTCTGGAGCTAGACATCATGATCACTGTTGTCATGCCTACAGTAACAATGAAGCTGACTTTGGGCTTGTTTACATGATGTGTGATGAATTCGCTGACAGCAGAGAGTTTTTAATTGAAACCCTTTTTGATGTCTGTTTATTAGCATGACCGAGTGTTGGAGCAAAGTAGAAAAAAAAACACCATTGCAAAATAATCATCCACTTTTCTGATGATATCTTAACTCTGACTGATGCAGAGAAAGAACCTCTGGATAAAATTGCACATGTATCTCCCTGCAATCTTTACTATACATGACTTTTAGAAGCAATTGCTTATGTACAAAATTTAACCTGTCGGTGCCTATAGGCTGCAGAACACAGTCCTCCCACAGTGACACTGCTTTACATAACAAATTATAGCTTCAGTCGGCCATAAAGTGCAGATAAATTGTCATTGTGATTTCACAATGGACTGCGACTGACAGGCGCCAACAATCACAATCACTTAAGTAGTTATATATGCTTTGTGCCATGTGTGAGAAAAAAGAGAAAATCTACAAAGAGATCAGAACACCTGAGTGTGTACGGTTTTATGTGCCGCTGCATGGGTTGTTGTGGCCCCCTTACAGAGTAGCAGTGACATTGTGGGAATTTGCATGGACACAGCCACATGAGTCTGGGAGGTTGTGTGTGTTTTTTTTGTTCCTTCCACCATCTCAGCCTAAACAGAATCCCACAGTGGAACGGCATTGATCAAAAGGAGGTCAGACAGGGCTATTGAACTGCCTTCAAAGACATTCTGATTAGTTAGATGGTAACACTGCACCCATTCATCTTCCATGGCAGAACAAGGCCCACCTCCAGTACTGCAGGGCCGATACACAACATTTGAAGTAACAGAGGTGAGCAATACTGCAAGTATGGCAACCCGGACATCTTAGAGTCTTCACAAGAATTTGTTCAAAAGATCTCCGAACATCACAGTCAGTGTGCTGCTGGCAACTTTCACTGGCACTAATGCGCTGCAGTCTGCAATAATAATATTTTTTTGATGCTTTACCTGGCACAACGAACAAAATACACAAACTAAACATAGGCATGAAAATGTACCCAAAAGCAAGGGATTCATCAAAATTTAGTTCGTGAGCAATTTGTGTCAGGCTATATCCTGAAGAGGTTTGCCGTATTCAACGTATGGCGGTGCGCATGGACGCAGCGGCTCCTTCAGGAGACAGCGAGAGTGAGCGTTTAGTGTCTTATCCCAGACGTGCATTCCGCAAAACCTGCTGGTTGAATAATCCTGAAGAAACGCTCTTTCATCTTGCCTGTACTACTGTGTATGTACAGAAAAATGACAATAAACTTGATTTGATTTGATATTAAACTTGACACCCGGATTCTCCGGCTTCCTCCCACACAGTCCAAAAACATGTTGAGGTTAATTGGTGATTCTAAATTGTCCGTAGGTGTGAATGTGAGTGTGCTTGGTTGTCTGTCTCTAAGTGTGGCCCTGTGATGGACTGGTGACCTGTCCAGGGTGTCCCCTGCCTTCGTCCTAAGTCAGCTGGGATAGGCTCCAGCCCCCCCGCGACCCTAGTGAGGATTAAGCGGTGTATAGATAATGGATGGATGGATTAAACTTGACACAACATTTTCTCCCCACATACTTTTTTTCTGGAGAAGTGTCCAGAGCAGATGAATTTGAAACGCCCAGTCTCTCACTGTACGATATACTGGGCTTAAAAAAGTTATAAAAAAAAAAAAAAAATTGCAAATGTTTGTTCAAAAAGATTGCATATATTTATTAAAGCAGATTTAATTAACATTTTCTTATTTCAGACATGGAAAGCAGTGGAGGAGGCTAGCTTTCAATGACTCTGTGCCACCTTCATCATCATTCTTCTATATAGTGCTGTATATGTCAGATAGTAGCAGTTACCCAGACTGAAGGGAAAACTATCTCCTGTGGAAATCATGTGTTTTACCTTGCTAGCATATCCATATGGTGTTTTTTTTTATCATATCCTAGAAGACATATCATGAACTAAGTAAGCAGACAATGCCATGGATCAGGATTACCATCTTTAAACTGCACTGGATCAATGATTCAGACTTCCAGGGTTTCAAACGTAACACACACAGAGCTTTTTGTAATTTTATTTTACCTCAGAATAAGTTTGCAATTCTAACATGTACAGCTAGTTTATTCCAATACTATGATTTGCCACTGTGCATCATAGAGTACTTTTACCGTTTCTGTCGTAAGTGATGTGTTCTGTTGGATAAAGTTAAAGTTGCATCTAAGTAATTGTAAGCCAGGAAGGGATTATTTACATGCAAAAAACACCAAAGAAACTGAAATATGTACGTTTGATAAACATAGAGGAGTGTTTTGGGATTTAATCGATGACTGGAGAGGAACTTTAAACAGCGTCTGCCCTTTTAGCTGTTGGACTCTGCAGTCCTCTGACAACAGAAACAATTAGTACATATCAATTGTGCATTCACTCATAGAGGAAAAAAAAAAAAAAGTTGAACCATAACCAAACAAAATTGAACTTTTACCTGTGTTCGCATTTTTGTATGGACTGAAAACTTTTAGAAAAATTATTTGAAAATACGAGCGAGAATGAAACCTCTGATATAAACACATTTGTCAGATGTGTCTATCTGTATTAGTGTTGACCCAAGTTGTGTGCTAAGCTTACGTATCCCAGCAAACCAGACCATCTAAATTGATCTAAATCAAGCAGTGGCATTTAGTGTCTACTTGTCTTGGCAAGGGTATCGATGAAGGTTATCGACAAACGTGACCTGAAACCAGATTGCCATTATATCTAACATATGCTCGTGACTGAACCCGTGTTTAACAAAGGTCTATAGGTTTTAAATGCCAGGGTGGAACTTGTCCACAAAGTCTAAATGTTTTGCACACAGGCATTTGTTTCAGTGTAAACAAATCAAATTCAAGTTGAGCTCAAGGCATGGCTGATTCCATGTATGGCAAATCCATCCCAATGTGTTTCTCTAGTCCATGACAAGGAAATAAATTGAAATGTCAACAAGTTGTAATGAATGCTTCCAGTGAGCCAACATTGGGACGTGCCGTGCAGAATCTCAGGCTCCCTTATCCTTGGCAATGAAATAGAAAACTGTGTGGCTCATTTTTGATGTTTGATTAAGATCATCCAGTGTTTTCCAAGAATGAAACCCACTTGTTTCTTTCAGTTCAAAACGAAATATATATTTTTTTGTGTTTACACACATCCCCCTACTCCATGAATCCACCCCATCAATTATATCCATTTATCAGGATGACAAGCACATAAAAACTGGCCACACACAAACACATGCTTGTGTACTTACACAGACAGCAAAGGGAGCCCTGAGTGAAAACTCTCTGGATGAGAATTCAACAACTCTACACAACACTCTTGTTTGCTTTATGACTCGTCCTATTTGAAACCACTTGATTTATGACACTCATTGTTGGTGTGCTCCGCATATGCCCAGATGTGTACTTTACTTTATGAATGGTTGCATAGATGTGCACGCATGCAGCAATTATCACTCTTACCTGTCTATAATTGCGCACATGTCCAGGCTGACGTTCTCAAAAGCTCCCACAATGCCTTTCTCTACTGCGTGCAAATCGGCAGGTTGGTCATCCACCAGGATTGCTTGCATGCAGCCCTGAAACGAACGCTGGGAAGGTGGAAACATCGTCTGCAGAAAATACCCTGGAACATAAACAAACGCACAAAGTAAACATTATTAGATTTTTTTTTTTTTTACTGCTGGCAATTAGACAGTAGGAAATGAAAAACAAAATGTTCTTTTTAATGAAAAGAACAGAAAAAAGGAAGGATTTGCATCTCCTTTGAACAATAATGCAAAGTAGGTGAAAGAGTGTGGGAAGAACACAATGGATTCTTTTGATCCACGATTTAAATCACACCATGAAAAGAAGACCTTCTGTTCAAGTAGACATCAAAAATAACAACGACATTATCCTTGACGAGAAACAACAGACCTGGCCACTGCTTGGTTATTGTCACTTTTTTACAGCCATGAACCTTCATCAGTCGTCTTGTTTTAGAGCTTATCCACAAGGCCCATTAGTCTTAATGCCAGCGCTAAGACCTCAATAGGCTAGAGGACATACAGATTTTACTATACACTGTACCTTTATGAGATACAGGAGTCAATGGCCCGTCCAGAGGTAGCACTGGGCCTTGACTGAATTGGGGACGAGGCGAGGACAAAACTGTGCGCATAATATCACGTGCGTGTGTGTGTGTTTGTGCGGGCATTTAATCTGTTACACAAATGCAAGTTCATGGATATATGATAGGCCTGTATGCATTTACATGGACTCATGCACTTTTGTACAATACATGGATGTACGGCATACAGTACGCGTGTCCATCTACGCAGTATAGGCAGTGTCTTCTATAGGAGATGAAAACCTAGAGCGCAATTTCTGCCACAAGCACACAGGTCAGTCATAAAACACTGCCTCTCAATGACATCTCCATCATTGTGATGTTATAAGCTGTCACACTCTCCAGCATGCCCATCAGCCCCAAGGCCAAAGCATCAAAGAGGCTTATTATAGAGGGCATATGCACTGTGTGTGCACCAACATAATTGTATTTTTATGTGGCGGGCAGACACAAAGCAAATAAACCAAGTTGAAAAGTAAAATATGTTTACGTGTGTGTGTGTGTGTGTGTGCGTTTCTGTGGGATTCATCCCTTTCTTCACATCTGATTTTCATTTCCTCCCCCAAAAGTTTCTCCTGTCATCCTTGCCATCTGTCTCATCTCTTGCCACACCTGCCTGCTGCCTTTCCAGAGGAGTGGGCGACAGACAGACAGAGAAAGCAAGAGAGGGAGACATGGAAAGGGAGAGAGAAGATGGGAAACAGAGAAGAGTACAGCTGGTTGGCAGCACTTTGTGTCCTGTGGATAGCTTATGAATGCATAGAAAATGTAGCCTTCCTGACAGTTTGGAAGCATAAGTGGAGCAATGCATGAAACAATAGGTGGATGGATATATGTTGCTAGGCCACGAAAGCCAACAGGAGGTGGGTTCTGCAAATCCACGAAACCAGCTGACAGTCTTCACGGTTTTAACACCGAGATATCCTGTTTGTGTTCTGAACGTCGGCAGTTTTTACGTTATAAATGGCATGAAAGAAGGTTTAGGACATGCACTTGAAAATGTATGTTTGCATCTCAATGTCAGATGAAACTGGTACGTTTCACTTGAGTCAAAAATTCCCCTTAAAACAGTGGAACAAAACAAAAGAGTGGTACCTGGGTGAAACAAACCATCGACATAATCCCTCAGCTGCATCTGCAATCCACAGTTTAAAATTTAAATAATTATTTAATCCCCACAGAGACAACAGTAGCCGTCCTGGGCAGCTCTCTTGTATTGCTTTGATTACCTTTACAAATATTCACTCTTTTTTTCTGACTTCAACAACATTATTTGGTTTTAATTTGCATCACACCCACACCTGAATTGAGGCAGCAGAAACTAATGGATAAAATGAGCTATAAGCTGCATCTTCTCACTGTCATCAGGGACAATGTGAGATGGCTGGACAAAAGGAGGAATAGAGGGACCTCCATGAGTGTACTGTTGTGAGACATGGCTACAGAAACTAATCCAGATCCCTTCATTACCATCGACGGCTTTTAGACAGTTTGGGAAGACATGAATAAATCTGAAAGTGGTAAGAAAAGAGGTGGATGGCTTTTTGCTTTGATAAACAGCAAATGGTTCCACTGTGGTCACATTAGCATGACAGAACATGTCTGCAGACCACATTGTGAACTGTTCACTCTGGGTCCACACTTCATGAATTTTCACATCCCACCTTCACCTTGGTTGTTGTTTACGTCCTGGCAGCCACGGCTGACGTCATCCACTCTGTCACCGCAAGACTCCAGACAATGCACCCCAGTGTTTCCTTGTATTCTTGTTTTGTCTTGTATTTCTTGTGTTCTCGTAAAAATTTACAAGTTTCACCTATTTGAGCAAACGTTACAAAACAATTTCCCTGCGGGATTACTCAAGTAATTGTGATTCAGATTTTGATAACCCGTCAGGATGCGGGACAGCAGCAGTAATCCCCTGCAGTCTTGCTGGTATTCTATCTCAGCTCCCCTGTTGTGCTCAAGGAGCTTCCCTCACAATACACACTTGGAGGACCGGCACCAGCCCTCCTCTACCTGCACACGGCTGGCACTCCGGCTATGTTTCCACATCCCAACACATTTAGAGGGATGCGTCTGCTTCCAGAGGAGGCAGGCTGGAAACCTGCCAAACTGCTCAGAGGTAAATTATTAAACAAATATTCTGAGGATGTAGCTCTACAGCATATTCAGAAGAGACAAAAACAGTTGCCAAAAACAGTATGTAGATTCCCAACAAAACTGAAAATTCACTCCAGGAAAAAAATGTGCTTATCTGCTGACCACCTGCTGCAATTTCTCCCTAAGCTATTTCTCGTAACTGTATAAAAAAACCACAAAAAACAACCCTAAAACAAATAAATAAAAACAGCACCATGAAACAAACATGACATGCATGCATGGCAAACATTACCACTGCTCTCATGTCAGGGACAATATGTACCCGACCTGCCATGGCAGATGTGCCTATAAACAAGCCTGTATGCACTTAGCCAACCCTTCCCAACCCCAAGGCGCGTATACAGACAGCATGGGCTGCTCTTTGATAAATGCAGGTGTCAGAGTCTCATGTCTAATTCATCACAAACTTTAAGATGAAGAGGAAGAGGTGACAGCATGTAGACGCATGACTGAAAATGTGCTATATATTACAAGCATTACTAACTTAATCGCATATATTATGTTAGAAAAAATGTTTTTTTTGCAGGTAGGTGAAAAAAATGTGAAAAGCTGTCGACATCAGAGTGACCAAATAAAACCATTGGAGCACTAAAAGACTGGATTTCAAAAGGTCAAAAAAAACTACTGCATCATTGTAGTATACTTGTAATGGAAAGGCAAAGTTTGAGACAAATACTGCAGAATTTGAAGTCATTATATTTCATTTATTCTTGCAAATAAAATGCAAGAGAAGACATGACATTTCCAAAATTATGAAAAAAAAAGAGTTGCTGTGACACTGTTTGGAGCAAGTCAGTGTTATAAAATTGGTAAGGGAGTGTGGAGACTGCCAAACTAATATAGAAAACACTGCAAACTCTTTTTTATTTTTTTTTCTTCCCAGAGTTATCGCACACCAGAATGCTTAAGGCTGGAATGTCCCATAATTGACTAGTCTCTCATTAGAGTATCCATTTGTCGCCTGTTCCTGCAGAGAAAAGAGCACGACTTTATCGCCGTGCGTACGTGCACGTCCGTGTTTGTGTGCGCGTCCGCCCGTCTTGCCTCTTGAGAAATTCAATTTGTGGATGCCTTGTGTCAGTCACTTACTAATTTCTCTAAGCGCGGCGTCAGGAGTGAAAAACTACTCCCCGTAAAATAGGCTTTGGGTTCAGGAGACTGCTTCTAAAAGCAGGCGCTCAAAGGATAGAGGAGTGGAGATGAGAGAGGGGGGGCAAAAGAAGGAGGTTGACCGGGTTAAAGAGGGTGCGATGAAAGGGAAAGGAAAGAAGATGAGGGCCATGAAAGAAGAAAATCAAAGAAATCTGAAAGAATGAAGGAAATGAAGCACAGACGGGGGGGGGAAAGAAAACAGACGAGAAGAATAAAATTAAGACGTGCCCAAGGTTGAGGGTGAGATTACAGAGGCTGAGAGCCCAGTCGTTTTCTCCTGCTGACATCTATAGTAAAATATCTTGTAACCCTGTAACCTTGGGTTGAAAAAGTGCCTCATGAATTTTAATTCCACAGAATCCGAAAAGGCTATTACATCTACAGCAGCGTTCTCGACTGGTCACTTCAGTGCCACTCGTCCCAGAAGTAGACAGTGAAAACACAATTTCAATGAAAAACAATGCATGTGTCACATTTCATTTAACATCTGTCTACCATTACTTTTCCCCTTTTACTAAAACTTGTATGAGAATTGGTAGCAATTAAAAACTCTACATACAAAACAAAGAAGGGTTGACAGAATTTAGGAAGAAAAGTAAATAAAGGAACATGTTGTAGGTGCATAATTTGCATAGCCTGTAAAGTCTTGGGTGCTTAATCTGCATAATGTCCCATCACAGTCATTAAAATACATTAAACATAACCACTTATGCAAATTAGGTAACCTATTAAGTGAATTAGGGCATTAATTAGAAAACATTTTTATGTCTGTATGCTTGTCGTCAGATGACACATCAGTGTAATTTTAATGGTAAAAGCATTATGAGGTTCTGTTGTATTTTCAAAAAATGCTTAACAAATTTCCTTTTTAATTAAAAAGAATATTCATGCACTCAAATCATTAACTGCTGTACGAAGGGAGCCTGTAGTATTGTGTCGTATTTGCAAAAAATGCCTCGGCTCAGATGTGATCATCATTAGTGGGACAGACAAAAGTAGCTGCCTTGTTTTTATTTTTATTTTTCAAGCCAGGCATGTGATCTAACTGCACGATCCTCTTTCTGTTTTCTGCATTTCAAATTTAATGGAGGCACATTCAGGATTAGGGCCACCGTGAAATATTTATTGAAGTCGTCTTTGTTTTTAGAATTCTGACCTTATTTTTCTTCTCCAAAGAAGTCAGCTGGATCTTTCTCCAACAACTTTTCTCTCAGATTTATGAGAAATAAAAGCAATAATTCTGACTTTAAACGTAGAATTTTGAAAACGGAAATGTATAACTCAAGTGTTCTGTCCACTTTAAAGGTGGATTAAAGGTGAGATCACTGCTCGCGTTATTCAAATTCACACTGGCTTTTTTTCTTTTTTATTTGATTAGACACAGACTGCTAATTATCCCACATAATGCTTCTGTGTCAGCAATCTTTTTATATAATGGGGGCCAAAGGTTTGCCTGAAACCCTTTATAGGAAATGACTCATCACTGAGGTCTACCGATCTTTTCTCACTTTAATCATATCATACTCTGCAGGTCAAGGAAAACATTGTGTATCAGACTTTGCATGAATCATACTGTATGTACATCATAGCATATGTGTAACAGCCAAGCTTCAGTATATTAATAACTCAACCTTATTTGGTTTAATGTAGCAGTTGACCACATTAAATAAACACTAATTTCATAAAATGACGACTTGGAAGCAGACAGACACTTAAACCATCTTTCCTCTGACATCCAAGCAGCGTTTCTATAGTGGCACTCACCCTATCAAAGCAAATGCCATGATTATATTCAAGTGAAATTACTAGCATTTTCCATCTCCTGAATTTATTTTTCATGAAGCCCAAATTATATAAGTTCACGGAAAGCACTAGAACTAGATGATCTAAAACAAGACAGAAATGGCAGCGGACATGTTCTTATCGCTGCAGCGCTTTTTTTTTGTTTGACGAGCAAACCCTCGCTGGTATTAAGGTTCTCTGTTTCGAGAACATTCCAGCCGAGCTGCGTTGTCGAGTCCAGCGTTACTTTAACAACTAAGTCTGGTTCAGTCCGTGGTCACCGATCAACAACTGTTGCCAATGAAAACACAGCAGATTGATGCCTTAAAGCCATGTGATTCGAAGCAGATGGCTACCTGGATGACTGCACCAACATAAATTAGTCGCGCCAATTATCTTGAGTCTTGTCCCGTTAAAGAAACACGGATTGTTCATGAGACTGAGTGTTTTTTTTTTTCGTTTTTGCTAATTGCGACACGTTGATAGAACGGTCTCAGTCACGGAGAAAGTGCTGATGGAATACTGTTAGAGAGCTTTAGGACAGCTTAATGCGCTTGGCCTCTTTGACTCATCAAGCTGAGCGATCAGAGAGAGTAATTGAGGGCAAGCCAAAAGGCTAAACTATCTTTTGTACACTCACTATATTATTCGGCTACCTCTGTTCAGGGATGGAAATTAGCCTCAGAATGTGTTGAGGTGGAGTGTTTTGAATAAATGTTCGAGATATTCCGTCTGAGTTTGAGCTTAATGTATTTCTGTGTGGAGTTCATACAGCTTCACAGGCACGGGCACAAAAACACCCACAGATTTAGATGACTTGAGGCCTACATCATAAATCTACGTTGTTGGGTAGACGATGCATTGAATGGCAAGAGAAAAATAAATCAATCTGGGTCATAAAATTTAAGAGCATGCATGATTTGAATCTTTCTATTCATATCAACCGAACGTAACCACGAGAAAGTTTCCTTTAGAATTCAATAATTAAAGAAAAAGGGCTAAAAAACAACCCACAACAGTACAGAAAGCTTTCCTGTGAAAGAGAATTCGAGTCTGGACGAAGAATGAAACGGTTGAAACTGTTCCAAAAGCATCTTCCTAAAAAACTTCTTCCCTAGCCTGTGAAACGGTGGCCTAAATATCACTTTGTACTCCTTGCCACAGAAATAATCAACAGTTTTGTATCCCCTGCAGCCTTCAAGCTTGTGTTTACCACCAGGCTCCCTGCTCCTCAGCATTCATTATGTCATGTAAAATTAACGAGTAAAACCCCAGTCACAGCTGCTGCCAATTCAGCCCGAACACTACCTCTTTCAGTCGGGGGGTGGGGTGGGGAAACACTGAAAAAAAAAACATAGCTGTATTTTTCTGAATTGTAGCGATTCATAAGTGTGTGAGTGCATATCCAGTATGTGAGTGAACATAACTGCGTATATGCAACCTGTAAGGTCATGTATTATACATGTCAGCCTACTACTAGCTCCCATCAAAGCCCATGTACTAACATTTAGATTTCCTTCTTTCTCTTCATCTCTTTATCGTTTCTTATCTTCGCTGGGCTTTGTCTGCTTTCTCTTCTGTTTCACTTCTCCTTCATCTGTCTGTCTCCTCTGGCCTGTTCAAGGAGTAAAGACATTACAGAGATACTCTCCTCTTCGTCACTATTGATTCGCAACTCAGCTTACTAAAATCGGTAAATCACCAATTGGATCTAAGTGGAGACTAGAGGACAAGAAGAAAGAGGAGAGGAGATACCAGAAAAGATAGACAAGCAATTGAAAGAGAGCGAGAGAGAGATGGGGGTAAACTAGACAGAAATAGTATATAAAAAATAGAGCTTTAAATGTAATGATGCTGCTGCATCTTAGATTTAAAAGAATAAGAATAAGAAAAAAAAATCCTTTTAAGTCCTTAAAAAAGATGTAGCAGGTTCTAGACTGAAATCCTATTAGCATATCAAGGCCTCACAAACTTTGATTTCATAAATAAAAAGTAGAGAGTCATTATGGACTTTAGGGGGATTCACTCAACACCAGCAAGGAGTAAATTAAAATAGACAACAAAATAAAAGAACCTGGACGTGTGTGTGTGTGTGTGTGAGAGAGAGAGAGGTGCTCTGATCCTTATTGACTGGCCTGGGGAAATGGTTTTGCTTGATGGAGGAGATAGTGCTCAGATAGAGAGAGAGGGACGGAGGCCTGATGGAGTTATCAGAGCCAGACTATCTCTCTCAGTTACTGTAATTTCATACAGGTGCCCACACACACACACACATGCACGCATGCACACAACACACACACACACACACACGGCAACACGTGCACACTTAGATACGGACCATCTTCCAACAGACGGACAGCGGTGTCTGGCATCATTAACCTGGCGTCTTCCTAATTCAGACAGATTGAGGCGGCTGCATGTGTTATCAGTATGTGATCCCATCAGTATCTGGTGGTCTTGTTGTGTCTGTCTTGCTAAGTGGGCAACTTCCTTAACTCTGCCCCACTGGGGTATAGCTTTCAAGCAAGAAAAACGATATGAAGACAGATTTAGTCTAAAAACACTGTTTTTGCATAAATATATTAAGACTTCTGTGTCCTCGGCCCCTTTAATTAAACATAGATATGCAATTAGCCACAAAAAAGTCGTCTAACTTGTTTAAAAGTACGCAGGATTTTATGGAAATGATCAAACAGGGAGCGGATGTTTACTGAAATCCAACCTGGATTTGTGCCAAAGCGTTCTTGCTGCCCTGAGCATCTTATACTCCGACGCTTCCCAGATGGCCGCTGTCAAGAAATGTGATGATGGGGAAAGAGGGTGGAAGTGAAGAGTGTGTTGTTGATGGCGTGACTCCTACCTCCCAGGTGATAGGTCCCTCCCGTGGTGACGGCGAGAGGTGAGGTGGAGCGCACGGCGGACACCTCCTCGCCGTCTATCGTCAGCATGGCGAAGTTCTCCTTGGCGACCAAACGTATGGCGTGCCACTGGCCGTCATTGAGGCCCGAACCTGGAAGATAGGAAGAGGGGGGGGATTAAAAAAAAGAAAAAATTCTATACTCTATTGATCCTGCAAAGGGTTGCACCACACCGAGGAGCAGATAGGTTTAAGTGGATGAACTTGAACTCCTGACCTTTGGAGTTGTAGCTCAAAGCCTCCTACCCACATAATGACAGTGGTGGGATTTGAACCCACGCCTCCAGAAAAACTGGAACCCAAATCCAGAGCCCTCATGCTACCTCCTTTTGACCTCAAATTAACTTTGTTATAAGAGGGTATAGGAGCATGTTAAGACCCTGGCTGGGATTTAACACACAGACACTGGGTGACTCATCATAGGCGAGAGGTATGTGGGTGGTGAAACTAGGAAATAAAATTTATTTCTGTGAAGTGTGGCTATCTCTCTCTGTTTACCTTCTACTTTGTCACACAGCAATTTTTTTTTTTCGCTCTCGCCACAATGATGGCACTCCTGCGTTGCCCGCTGAGTGCGACTCCAACAGAGTTAAGATGTGCTCGGCTGAGGATCGTCTTGGTGCCTCGATCAAATTTTTCCCTCACTTCTTGAGCAGTCACATATGTATGCCAATGACCCTCAATTCTTCTTCCCTCCTCTTTTGTTCTCTTCCTCTTGCCTCCCCCCTTTCTTTTTCCTCGCCGAGTGCAGTTTCGAGTCTCAAGGCCTCCTGCGTCTCGACTCCATTAACTCTCAGAGAACCCCTGTTTCCGTCTGAGTACCCAGGTAGTGAGTGTGTGTTCTCTATGAGCTCGCGACTTCGAGCACTTTGCGCAAGTGTACAAGTCTGTAATGTGTTGCGTCGTCTGCATATGTCAACGTCGTGCGCGCGCGCGTGTTTCGCGCATGCAAGTTTTTTTGTGCTCTCCTTTTTCTCCTCTCTTCCCTTGTAGCCGTGCTCCATTAAATATGAGTGATGTTTTGGAAAGGGACATTACTACTGGAGCTGAGAGAGAAGCCAGCTCACTCTCATCGCCCTCTCCTCTATACATCACCTCTTACTGACTCCAATCTCTATTCATCCCTCCCTTCTTGCCTTCGTCTCTGTCCCTGATTCCTCCCTCTCTCTGTCTTTATTTTCCCTTCTTGAAACTCTGCATTTAACACCCCCCCCCCCTTGTATTCTACTTCTCCCCTTTTGTAGCCATCTGCTGCAGTGCCTGTCTTTTTCAATCGGGTTTAGCTCACTGCTTCACTGGCTGTAACGTATCGATAGTGCGGACACCGTAGCGAAGTTCAAGGTGCGGTCATGTGCAAATCAGTCTCGGCAGAGCGCACGCATGGATCTGCATGCACGTCAATACGCGTGTAGCTTTACATGCCACGCGTGTCGATACGTTTGAATCATAAGAGCACGTTCGGTTTGTGTGTGGCAGTTTCGGTGTGCATTGTTTACTTCTTCCCAGAATGCATTTGAAGACCCCGACTTTTATATCTGCAGGGAGTCTGCACTAATTAATCTCCATCAGCGGGGTGACTGTGCGCACATGTGTGTGTGTGTGTGTGACGGCCAAAGAGATTAAAGGCCAAGATGGCTACTTGCTGAGAGGTGGGACCACTTTGGCACATTTACACACACACACACACAGCACAGCCCAAGATTTTCCACTCGCCAGGAGAGAAAAATGCAATGGAAATGTTGAAAAATGGGTTTTAGTTGTACTTGAAAGATCACAAAGATGCATGTTTTGTCTGAATAAAAAAAAAAAAAAAAGTGAGTTCTTGTAGAGAACGACCTTTGCTGACAGTCACATTTCTGCCTGTATATTGGTTTGATGTAATCACCAGCAGGCTCTCTGCTCTGTATAACCTCTTCAATGTAATGGAAAATAGATACTATATAACCTCGTGTCCCCTCATCTGTTTTACATCACCTGCAATAGCTTTGAATGATGAGCCGATCAGTGATAGTCGCGTTACTGAACCGTCGCGCAGAACATGTGCGCAAGCAGACACAAGGGATTCTCAAATACGTGTCTTTTTCTATCCGACTGTCACATTCAGCAAACATGCAACCTCAAAACATGCACATGCCTGTCATAGATAAGGAGAGCAGAAGAAGGAGATTTAACTAGATAAGACTGACTTGCTATGGAGTTCATATGCAGGAGGCTGATAACAAGGTGACCAGGTGTTTTGTTATGTTTTTGATTTTCTATAAAAAAAAAAGTATTGAACCGTGAGTTAATTTGCAGCATTTCACAAAAGTAAAACTCAACCGATGAAAAAAAAAAAAGTCACACCAACTGAAAACAACACAGTGAAACATCTGAAAACTTAATTAGATTACTGTAGAATCTCTGAGTACTTGATGTGTAACATTCTGCTCATCATACTTTGGCGCCTCCAGCTTGGTCTTTTCTGAAAGGACAAAACAGCTCTTAAGGTTACATAAAACCGTTTAGTTTTCAATTTCATCCAAGGACGCTGTCATCTGATGTACCACTCACTGTCTATGTCAACACAGGAATAAAATCAATGCACATCATAAAGGTGTGTGTATACTGTACTCGGCGACTCTCAGTACACGAGACACCGTCTGTATAGGCACGGTAATCTTGAAGAGAAAACACATCTTGAAACAATTCTCTGCTGTGTTAGTGTGGGAGTCATTCTGAAAAAGAAAAAGAAAAAAGAAAAAGATTTTTGCGTAAGCAGCTGTAAACGCTGCATCTTCCTAAGCATGCTCAGTAACAACCCACTTACGCCAACTCAAATACGAGAAAGTCACCTCTGACCACATTTGTGGCCACTGGGAAAAAGATTATTTAGAGTATGATGGTACTTTTAAAAGTTCTCAGCCTCACTCTAAACAAGGGTTGTAACTCCTATTTTTTGGGGTAACTTGCTACTATAAAGTCTCATATCAGCGTCCACAAAAACTCAGATGTTTTCTTGGCAGGTGGTGCCCTTTGAAAATCAATAGGTGAAAGGGAAACCAAAAAAAAAAAATGGACAAAAAGGAAGGCAGAGCTGTTACCAAGTATCTAGTATGACCGTCACCAAAATCCACAGACATGGTTAACACACTTGGTGAGGACTCTTCTTGCTATTCAGCTGTAAAGAAGTGTGCTGCTGATTTCAAGCAGGGCAGGAAAAGAACCAGATGACCCATGGTCAGGATGCCAAAAAATCAGCCTCCACGAACAGAGGCGATTCACCTCCACCTGAATGATGGACGTGTAACTGTCCAACACATTTTTGGTTTCGCTTTCATGTACTGATTTTTAAAGGGCATCACCTGCAAAGAAATGACAACAAACATTTACTTTTTTTTTTTTTTTTGTAGACAGTGATTGAAGGCTTTATGGTGTGCAGTCATGCCCCAAAATGGAAGTTATACCCCTTGTTTTCAGGTGAGGCTACATGCACACTAACATCTCATCTCAGGGGTCCTTTGCTGCTGGTGTTGCGGTTCTATTTGTCTAGGATGTGACTACAATGAGAGAGTGAAGGAGCCTACAAAGATTTACAGACAAGGGTCCTAAAGAGGGATGATATCTGGGGGAAGTTAGGAGCACATGAGAGACGTGGAAGTGAGGAATTCCAGGACTGAGCTGCAAACCTGGAGCGACAAAGTGGTTGGTCTGGAGAAACAGACCAAAGAAAAGCTTTAGTTTAGTCTGCCAGGTACTGTATGTTCTTGCCTAATCAGTCTATACAATGTAAGAAAATAGTGAGAGTGTCAATTACAACTTTTTAAAGCCAATGTTGACGTACTTATGTTTCTTGTTCTATCTGGAGCAACTGGTCCAAAAGCCACAACCGCAAACATAGACATTTGAATGTGAGACATTTAAAGTTAAATCTTGGGGCTTTTTCTGAAAAACTGCAAATATTTGTGCAATAACTTTCTGTTGATCAATTAATCATCTAACTGTTCGACTGTATATTGGGTTAAAGCTAGCTAAAGTTAATCTAATTTGTGTAATGTGCATTTAATAAGTTAAGTTAAAGTTGAATTTCACTATATAGACTTTCTTGGCAACAATTTAAATATTAATCCATTAAACCCAACAACAATTTCTAAATAATTTCTGTCTGAATGACTATTTATTTAACATGCAATATTTGTGAGACTGAAAACAACAGACGACTGGTAGTAAAACAAACGTAACACATCAACAGCAATGGACCTTCATCCTCAGCTATACCGCTATGATATTTCAGACTGACAACCAAGGAAAACAAAGTGACAGCAATTACAGCGGAGCTGGAAGCGACCAAGAGCGCATAGCAGCCCCCAAGAAGAATAAAAGGTGGAGGAGGCTGAGAGACTGATTTCTGGTATGTAAGTACAAAATCACAGACTTGGTAATTTTAGAAAATCTTGAAAGAGAAGCAGAGAAGTGATTAACTTTCATGCTTCTAGTACAAACAGCTGAAATGGCAGCCCTGGTTCCCGGAGTGACAACCAGAGAGGAGGTGGTGCTGGAGCAGAGGAAGGAGGTGACAGCTGGATAATTCAAAGACTGAACTCCGGCTCACCACTAACAAATTGGATGAGATATAGAAGATGATGGCAGGTATTTTGGTGAGAGACCAGAAATACTTAACATACATACCTTAATCCCTTAACTGACGGCAGCACACTTAAAAACAAACAAACAAACAAAAAAATAATCTAAATATAGAACTAACTAATCTATACTGTTGTTATATTAAAATCGAATAAATACAATAAAATAAATCAATAAATTCTTGTTTTTTCATTCTTTTCTCTTTCAAGCTGTTCCCCTAAATGTTTCCATGCTGTGTTCCCAGAAACTCCAAAGCTGGCTCTCTGCACTGGTCAGACCGGCAGAGAAAGCCAGCTTGATCGGAATATCCAATATTGAAACTCCACTTGTCTACAGTACAGTCTTCACAAATATTGGCGGGGCTTACAACCCAACTACTGGCATGCGATACAAAACGCATCATAATATTACCCAAGTGATGGACAGGCCTGAGCTCCTCAATTCCCTACTGTTGCGGGTATCTTCACTGCGCC